TTTTTTTTTTTTTTTTTTTTTAGAATTCAGAACCTTTGAACCAGAAATAGAAAAATTCCCAATGATTTTGAGTTTACCATTATTGAAAAGGTTCTATTGAACCTTGATGTGGTACTTTTCTACTATATTTGTTCACAGAGGTAGACAATTTGAGGATAACAGTAAATTGGAAACACTGTACTCCTTTAGTGGACAAGCTTTTTGTTACCGTACGTACATTTTTCCCTGGTTCTCTCAAAACTTATGCTTAAATATTAAGCATGCTATACTTATGAAACTGTGTATACTATATTAAACACACCTTTTGAGCCTCTTTAAACTAAAGACACTTATGTAACACACATGTTCACAGAATCATACCCCCCAAATAAATCCATATATTAAATCAAATTATTTAATTACATAAAACAAACTTTTGATTTACAAGAAGAATTCCCCAGGCTCATACCAGGAGTAAAAAGAAGCAATATTTTACTGAGGAGTCCTTTAGTTTCCAACTACACATCCATATTCCCCACTATGTCTCATTTAAGCCCATGATTTTCTCTTCTCTTTCATTTGCATTCCATTCTTCTGTTTTCTCTCTCCCTCTTCCTAATTGCATCAGGTTTCTTCCCACTGAATTCTAACTTTCCCCTCAACCCTTCTCCCAGGACCTTTTCCTAGGGCAAAATAGCCAGATTCAGAATCTATAGGGCATGAACAAAATCTTTCACAACAAAACCACCAGGTTACAATTCCTATGTTTTGGTATGCCTCCTCATCCTCGTTATTCATTGTAGATATTACATAATGCTGAAGTTGATATATGTTCTTTACTGAGTGCCCTGTAATTCAAAATAAATGATTGTATTGTATTGTATTAAAAACAGAAAGCATCTTGCCAAAACGTGTTAGATAAGAAAATCAATGAAAAAAAAATTATTTTGTGCCTGCAGAAATCCTTATTTAATGCAGCACTCCACACCCATTCACCTGTTCTTAAAAGAGGTACAGCATATTCCAGGATGGACACACAAAACTGAGGAAGGCTGAGCTGTTGCATCTGTAATTCCAAAGAGTCCTCATTTTCCACCTCTGGCAGGTCATTTTGTCCTATATCCAGTGGTGACTGCAGAGATATTCTGGAATTTGCAGGAGCCGGAGTACTGCTTTCACTGCAAAACAAAAGCAGGACTAAGCACTGCCTTAGAAGACAAACTTAACTATTTTTTAATAATAATAAAAAAACCAAACAACAATAATGACCCAAAGAGGTGAAAAAAGGAATAAAGTCCACTTGCCTACCTTTGTTTTATAAAGAAAGCCTTCCTTTCCCCCTCCCTCCCTCCGAAAATAGAGGGAGTGACTTTTAATCTTGGAAACATCAAGTACGTCAAACATGATGCTCCTCGAATTTTCTTTTTTAAAATGTAAAAACAAGAATCCTTAGAGCCACATAAGCTTTCTATACAATGTGGAAAAATAGGGACCAATTATTTTTCCTCCCTTTTAAAGTCATCTTTAAATACAAATCAAGGATATGCATCAATAGTATGTTTTTTTACTGTTAAGCTTTTTAGAAGATCCTAGATGAGCAACAGTTGAGTTAATTTCTGCATTTAATGCTACCGTTCACCCCACTGCCAGATGTGGGTCCAGATCCAACCCAAGAACAGCACTGTGGTCCAGATGTAAAACTTATTCAGCCCCATGAGACAGACTGGGACTCCCTCCAGTGCTCTTCATGGGCCAGGTCTGCCACAATGACTCCTTCTCCCCATAGCAGCCTTTGCCACAAGGGAGGGGGGAAGAATAGTAAATGAACTGGGTAGCATGGCATTCCCCACCACCTCCCAGAGAATCTTTACAGCCCCATACACAACAGATCATCAAGAGGTGGGAGGGGAGGAGGAGAAAACAGGGCACTAGAATAGAGACTCCTGGGGAGTCTGTACCATGGGCCTGCTGCAGCAGGTGTTCACCAAACCTGTTCCTTAGCTGAAGCGGCCCAAGCCCATGCTGCTGCAGTAGGAGTCACAAAAAATAGCAGCTGCTGCCAGTGTGCAGAGAGCTGGAGCAGGTAAGACTCCACTTCTCCCACCCTGCCACCATACCCCACTAGTTGTCAGAATAATTCCCCTCCCCTGTCTTCCACCTCCAGCTTGCTATGCCTCTGGAGCAGGGGAAGAATCTAATTCTATGTTATGTAACAAATGAGGCTCATTTACAGTATTATATAAATCCTTAATAAAAACTGAATGTAGAGTTAAGATGGATTTAAATAACTTTTTACATAATGGCTCTCTTAAGACACACATTTAAAATTAATAATCTGAGCTTCTCTAATCTATAATGTCAGAGCCTATTATAATACTTAATAGTTAGTGGATCATTAAATCCATATGCAATAAGACTCTAAAAGCCATTTCTACTGGCTAGATAAGAATTCACAAGAATTTTTTTAATTCTCAAATAATGACCTAATAAAGGACAATGACACTTGCAGAGTGGTTACAAAGTCTGTTATATCTAGATGAATATCCCACTCCGCTGACTACCTTTTACTTGTTAAGGCAATCCAAGTGAATCAGTAACAGTTGTATGGCTAGACCCTATGCACCTGACAATTTGTGGTCAGAAAGTTTAGGAAAGTGTTTGCATTGTATAGCCACAACTACCAATTATGACTGACTTATTTTATGCTTTCTCTGTGCCATCAAGTCCTGAAGGGAAACAAAGAATCCTGGTATCTGTATTTGTTGGTTAAATAGTGGAAGAAATAATTATTTCAAAGTAAATCAACATAAATCCTACTGATTATAATCTTTTTGAAAGTATTATTAGTTCATTCCTAATACACAAACTCTGTTTTTTCTTTATGGGCAGAATGCAAGCGATCAAAAGGACTTCATAAAATTGTAATGCCAGTTAAAAGCTGAGTTCCATTCCTTCATTTCTTTTAGTTACTTTTCCCTGTTAGGATCCTAACTCTAAACAAACTAGTTTCACTTGCATGTTCTCCTGACAGATTGAATTTTATCTGGAAAGCAGCACATTGTACATTTAAAAAAGCCTTCCTATTCACTTCCCATTTTGTTCACCTGGAAGATGCTCTATCCCAATCCTGGCCATCACCTCTAGGACGCTGACTTGTACGTCCAATCACAGATGGTCGAGGGCTACTACTTCCAGGGGATGGATTCTGGGAATGAGGAGGTCCTCTTGCTTCGTGGCAATAAGACACAGAGGAATTTTGGGAAGCTGTACCTTACACAACAAAAATAGAAAAATAAGTTTCACGCACCTCTCTATTGTACAAAACTATCAGTGGAATTATGCAAAGTACAATGTCATTAAGATATGGCAAAAGAATTAAACTATGAATTAAACTAAGGTAGTCAAATTAATGACTAAAACACAGGCCAGTTAGCACAAATGTTGTAACCCGTGTGAATCTCAGAAGGTCTGAAAGTTCATTGCACACAAACACTGAAAAGTTAAATGGTTTAACCATATTTCAGGGGTTCTTGAAGTCTCACAAGAACATTTTTTGCTAGATTTTGCCGTCTTTTCAAATTCTAGAAATGCTTGGTTTAGCAACAAGATTTCAAGTTATCCATGGGTCAGACAAGGCACCGATTCAACTTGTAGATGCAATAAGGCATTTAGTCCAGTTAACTTATCCACAGTTTATTCAGAGTAAAATAGTAAAGCATATTAAGTCAATGTGTCTTAATAGCTAATAAGACACAAGCTTAATTATGCTTGGGCAATGCTGAACAAATGCAATCAAGTTAGTATTATTAAAAAGCAGTGGAGATGGTACACAAACACGTGTTTAAGCTACTAAGTATAATGACAAATCTATGAAAATAACCAGTTAAAAGATAACCATACAGTGGATTAAAGTGCAGGAAATAAATAGGGGACACGCAAATCACTGAAACTAAGCTATGCTAACAAGATGTTAGATTTAAGAAATGAAGTAGTATCTGAAAACTTTTGTTCTCTCTGCAATAGCTATTAAACAGTTTAACACCTGTCATAAAAATGGCCAAAACCAAACCTAAACATCAAAAGTTAATACCCTTATGCAGGCTACATTTAAGATCATCTATGCATTCCCATTTTGTTCCAGAAGTTCTGAACACCAAAACATTAGGGTCTTTTTTAAAAGTTTCCCAGTATAAAATTACCTTCTCCTTTCAAATTGGAGGAAACGTAGCTCATCCATTTTTGAAGATTCCCTACTATTATTTCCTAAACAAACTAGATTATACCTATTGTAACATACCTTTCAATTCCCACTCAAACAAGTGAGAAACTGAAAGAGCTTCTCTGAATTTCTCTGAAACTGGCTACCTTCTTTAATTTTCCCAGTGAAACTGAGGTGATAGCAGTTTTCAGAGTGTTCTTGTCCAGAATGACTACTACTTCATATTGTTGCTTGAGTAACTAACAGGCCAAGCTGCACACAAGGCGCTGGCCAACCTTTTTGGCAGGCGTGCCACAAGGTAAGCCCCACACTCTGCCGGAGTGCCACTCTGATCCCCTTCCCCTCCCTCATCCACCATGTGCCATGCACAGGCTGCCTATGCTATGTGCTGATCAATCCCACTTTATTCTCTTTCTTTCAATACAATTTATAAACCATAAATGACGAATAAAAAGTATTAAGGCAGGAACTCTGATAACTCTACAGGGAAGCTATTACACGCCTATTGAAGCCACTGAGTTCTAAAAAAAGAAATAGCTGTTGCTTAATGACAAACTTATTTCATAATGACTTTTACTCTGCATCATTGGATATTTGCAATAAGTGAATAATGTAATTAATATACCTTTAGAGTGTGCATAGCCAATACCAAACATGGAAACTCTGGGATATTAAATAACAAGCCTTTGTGGAATGCAAGATTCCTACCTTTCTTGGGTTTGCATGGTTTCAAAAAAGCTAACTATAAACCAAGAACACAAATAAGCTCCTTTCTTGGGATTGTCCAGTGAACAGGCTGAGCAAGAAACAACCATTTCCAACAACTGCTTCCCCACTCCACATCTCCTTCTCAGCAAATAGGGAGGATGCTCAAAATCCTATGAAAAGACCTTGGCAAATGGCATGAGCTGGGCTTAGAAGCAGCAGCTGCATAGCGAGACAGAAAGAACAGTGAAAGTGGATGCAAAGAAACCTCACACTTCTCCCAGGAGATGCACGAGGAGTAAGTGGCAGGTGGTGCTGGGAAGCTATAGTGGTACAGGATGTGACCATTGGACCTAGCAATCAGGAACTGGTCTATGAAAGATTTGTGGAAAAACTGGACGGGGGGCCAGAAAACTCACTGATCCTGACTGAACAGCTGCAATCTCCTATTTGATTTTAACAGAACAAAGAAGAAAAGGCATGCAAAGCCATAGGCCTCAACAGCCTTACTCTGCACTTGTCTCCCGCCTGGAGCTGGCCTTAGGGATGAGCAAGGTGGGAGACCCCCAGGGCACCATGATCAGGGAAGCGCTCCACACATACACGAGAAGCCCATGCTTAGACCAGTGCTCTCCCTCTGCCACAGCCCACCCCAACTGATCCTCATCTCTGACAGGAGGAGCCATACCCAGCCCAGCCTGCCCCTAGCTCCAGCTACTGCTTAGGAGAAGCTGGGCCAGGCACATGCAGGTGGGATAATACCTGCTCCAGTCTGCCTGCCTTGCTCCTGCACAGCAGCAGCAGTTCCTGCTTGGTGCAACATACAGCTCTCCCTCCCTGCTGGACTGTGTCCTGCCCACCTGCCTCTGCCTGCAGCAGCAATGACTAGCAGGGGGGCGGGGGGGGGGGGGGGGG